TCACGGTCCGTGAGTTCGAGCCCCGCATCAGGCTCTGGGCTGATGGCTCGGAGCCTGGAGCCTGTTTCTGATTCTGTGTCTCCCTCTCTCTCTGCCCCTCCCCCGGTCATGCTCTGTCTCTCTCTGTCCCAAAAATAAATAAAAAACGTTGAAAAAAAAATTAAAAAAAAAAATATCCATTTGAGGGGCGCCTGGGTGGCTCAGTCGGTTAAGCGCATCTGACTCTTGATTTTGCCTCAGGTCAAGATCTCATGGTTTGTGGGTTTGAGCCCTGCCCCAGGCTCTGCACTGATAGTGTGGAGACTGCTTGAAATTTTCTCTCCCTCTCTTTGTCTCTCCCTCCCTCTTTCTCTCAAAAAAAATTAAAAAAAAAGGAAAAAAAAACCTAAAAAAATGTCCATTTGGAGGTTAACTTGATGTGTTTCATATTGTTCATATTTCCAATTACATGATTTTTCACTACATAATAATTAACAATTATAAGTTGAATCTCTGAAATTTGGTCTGAGCCTCATTTTGATTCGTCTAAGAATAGGGTAAGGCAGGGAAGATAACATTCTTTTCTGAGCCTTGTTGTTTAAAATTTTTCTCAGTGTAGTTCAGATTGTCCATTGAATAGTTGTATAGCTTATCACCACCCTCAGATTTTCCAAAGTCTGAAAATTATTCAGAAGGTAGAGCTGCCCTCTGGTGTTCACCCGGTGATTCCTTCAATATTAGTGTCTGCAGCTTTACGTTCTTAGAGCTAAATTGGGGTGGCTTAAAGTATTTTGTTCAGTTTTCATTCTGTAGATGAGAAAAATAGGAATAGAAAGGGAAATTGATTTGCCAGTGTTCTCAATTATTTGCTTCCCTTCCAAAAATTCATCCATCCATCCATTTGAAAGAGCATGATTCTCAGAATGGAATCACTCCGATGAAAGGTTTTTTTTTTTTCTTTTTTCTTTTTATACAGTGGTGTAATTTAAAAATTTTAAGAGTTACTGATAAATTTTTAATTTGGAATAGAACAGAATGTGTGTTACACTTAGTGTGTTTTGTATGTTCATGAATTTTTTGAATAGTAGATGTTTTATTAGCTACTGAAAAATACAGAGATGACCTTTAAGAGAAAAATAATATGGAGAAAATTTAAGAAACACTCAGTTATTAAATTTCAGAATTTTGGTTTCCTTAATGCAAATGTCTCTTAAATCTGGGTTATGGAACTGTTTTTAAAGATGTATTTGCTCCCTAGTTTGCAAACTGTGGTGTCTTAGTACCATTTCTCACCAGAAAGAACCAGGGCTCTTTGGAGAAAGGGCTGATTCTAGGTCAGGAGCACAAAATGTGCAAGATAAGCCTAGAGGAGTGGTTCTTAAATTTTTTAGCTTAGAACCTTTTAGTGCTCTTAAATTGATGAAAACTCCAAAAAGTTTTTGTTGATGTGAGTTATTTTATCTATTGATATTTATGGTATTATACATTAAAACTGAGAAATTAAAACTATTCATTTTAAAATGATAATAAACCAATTGTATAATAATATAACATTTTGTTTTAGAAATAACTATATTTTCAAAAAGATAGAAGACTGGCATTTTTTATTACATTTTTGCAAATATCTTTAATGTGTGGCTTAATGAAAGATAGCTAGATTTTCTTATGTGTTCCTGAGTTCAGTCTTTAATGATATAAGTATCTATACATTACATATAGTATATACACATATATATGATACATACACATACATGAGTTTTGTGGATTTGTGGTGTTCTTTTTTTTTAATTAAAAAATATTTTTAATGTTTATTTATTTTTGAGAAAGAGAGCAAGTCGGGGAGAGGCAGAGAGAGAGGGAGACACAGAATCTGAAGCAGGCTCCAGGCTCTAAGCTGTCAGCACAGAGCCTTATGTGGGGCTTGAACTTATGAGCTGTGAGATCATGACCTGAGTGGAAATTGGGCACTCAACTGACTGAGCCACCCAGGTGCCCCGTGTTACGTTATTTTAAATGGTATATTAGGTATATTTTCAAATGTGTGCTTAGTGTGTATTTTTCAAACTTCAGATACCTTTTCAGTTGAAGTACTTCCAAATTCAAAGCATTGGGCACAGTTAATCTGAAAAAACATATATTGTTTGTTTATGTTTCTAGATGTGTATTGCCTATGCTATACCAGTCAGTGTTTGAAATACTGAGTGACATGCAAGATCTCTACCTTTGTGGAGCTTACGTAATTACAGATTGTGATAAATTCTCTATAGGTACACTTTAATATTGGAAGTGGAGGGGCTGGTGAGGAAATGGTCCCATGGTTGGGCTGTAGCCTGAAATGAGAAGGAGCCAGCTCTAAATAGAGCTGGGAGAAACCTCCCTCCAGATCGAGAAGACAGCAAATACAAAGACCTTGAGGTTGGGGAAAAACATGTCGTATTCAAAGAACTGATAGAAATCCACTGCAACTGGATCCCAGTGTGTGAGGGGAACATTGTGAGAAGTCAAGTTGGGGAGGTAGACAGAAGCCAAATGATATAAAGTCTAGTATGTTGTGATAAGTAAATAAGATTTGGCCTAACGGCTGAAGGGAAGCCATTGAAGGGGTTTTAGCTGGACAGCAACTTGATTATATTAGTGGTCCTATAAATCTACATATGTGATAAAGTGGCCTAGAACTGTATTAGTAACCAATGTCAACTTCCTGGTTTTTGCTGTTGCCCTGTAGTTCATGTAAATGTAACTATTGGGGAAACTAGGCGAAAGATGGAAGGGACCACTCTACTATTTTTTCAACTTTCTGTGCGTGTTTATAATTATTTCAAAACAAAAAGATAAAAAAAGTACTGTGAAAATGGATTATTGGCAAGCAAGAATGAAAGCAGACTAGTTATGAGGCTCTGATTTCTAAGCGAGAGAGAATGATTGCTTAGACTTGGGTAGTAATGGTAGATAGGGAGACAAGTGGATGAAGTTGAGATGTTTCAGAGATGGAGCTGTTATTGGGTTGGTGTGTGGGGAAGGGAGCCCAGATTTTTGTCTTGAGCAACTGATGGTTTCACGTGAGTTTGGGAGCATTAAGATTGGAAGAAGAATAGGTTGAGAGGAAGAATGGGTGGTTTTATATTGGGCTTGCTAGGTTGGGTAAGCTATCAGGGTGAGGCTGGAGTTGAGTGTAGGAGCCAGGCAGCATTTAGATCATAATTAACAGTGGTGGGATTAGATGAGACCACACTGGTTGAAGAGTGGAGAGAGTGAAGAGAAGAGAGCTGGGGATAGAGCTGTGTGGGGTCTTTAGCATGTAGAGATGTGTCACAGGAGGAGGAACCAATCACGAGATCTCAGAGAGGTGGTGACAGGAAGAACATGAGGAGAGAGTGGGGTCATTGAAGCCCAAAGAAGGAGGTGAAGGAAGAGGGAGCTATCTGATAGTGCTGAGAGACTGAGTGTAACGAGGAAGGAAGTGACCACAGGAGGTTGGGAGATCTCGAGGTGCAGAAGGCAAGCTTGAAAAGTGAACAGTATGTGAGAAAATGGAGAGAGCAAGCACAGACATCTCCTTCAAGGAGTAACGGAAATGCTGTGGCAGCTAGTGGGAGCTCCTGCAGGAGATTCGTGTGCCAGGGGGCTATGATCCAGTTGAAAGGGAGAGAGGGAGATGATGTACTACAAGTAATTGAAGGAGCAAAGATATTGAAAATGCAGGAGGGGCTGAGGCAAGTAAATAGGGGAGGGATTGTTCTTTGAGTCTCCACATGCCAAAGAGCCTTTTTATTTAAAAAAAAATTTTTTTTTTCAACGTTTATTTATTTTTGGGACAGAGAGAGACAGAGCGTGAACGGGGGAGGGGCAGAGAGAGAGGGAGACACAGAATTGGAAACAGGCTCCAGGCTCCGAGCCATCAGCCCAGAGCCCGACGCGGGGCTCGAACTCACGGACCGCGAGATCGTGACCTGGCTGAAGTCGGACGCTTAACCGACTGCGCCACCCAGGTGCCCCTCAAAGAGCCTTTTTAAAACATCAGAGCACATCGCTCATTTCAAAAACTTTCCATCCCTCTTAGGGTAAAAACCAAAATCCCTACAGTGGCCTGCAAAGCTTTAAATGTTGGTGCTCTGTCCAACCCCACCCCCACTCTGACCTCAAATGTTACTGTTACTCTCCTTGAAGTCTGCTCCAGCTACATGGGTCACCTCACTTTAGCTGAATGCAGCAGACCCCTGCTTTGGGGTCTTCGTGGTCGTGACTCCTTTTCCCTGGATGGCTCTTTCTGCAGATTTCTGCACAGCTTACTCCTTTACTTCTTTCAGGTCTTTCCCTGAATGATACCCTGTCAATGAGGTTTTCCCTGACCACTGTCTAAAATTGCATCCCTTGCCCTGTACCTTTTATTCCCCCAATCTGTTTTTCTTTATAACACTTCACCACCTTAAATACTGTATGATTATCAACATATTTATCTCTCACCATTGGAATGTTCAGTCTGTAGGGGGCATGAATTTTTGTTGTGTTTACTGTTTGTAATACCTAGAAGAGTATCAAATGTGCAATGTATAATGAAAGAGAACAAAGAAGAAAGAATGTGGATAGAGAATCAGATAGGTTTAAGGATCTGGTAGTGGGAAGATGAGTGTGTGCCTTTTTGAGCTTATATAGATTATAAAGCAAGGCACTGAGAGTGAACTGGGGTGGGTGGGATGATTAGAGTTTTGAGGTGAGCATAGGAAATGTAAGACGTCTTTTTGGAGAGTGTAAAGATGAACTTTCAGGGCGTGATTTAAGATTGCTGGGCAGGGTTGAGTGCATATTTGTGGTTTTCTGAAATGGAATGTGTTTCTCATTTAAATTAATAGAATTTTTAGCAACGTTGAGCTATATAACATAGAGTAAGGAAATGTGATATAAACGCTTAATGTTTTTAGAAGAGTAGAGTTGTTTTTTTTTTTTTTTAAACAGTGATCTTCTAGTTTTGAGTTTACAATTGATGTAGAATGTGTCCTAATATAAAGTAACATTCTTCTTAGCCTTACCAATAATTCACGGATCGTGGGACTCCTGGCTCAGCTGGAGAAGATCAATACTGAATCTGCAGAATCAGATACTGCCCGATATGTTACATCAAAAATTCTTCATCTGGCCCAAAGTCAAGGTAAACTTTAGTCTCTTGTTTTTGAAATGCTTTTTTAGTTCTTCGAAAGTCGATGCTAAGAATATTCAAACTTTGGAGAAATAGATGATTTTCTGTAAAAATTGAACTTTCTCAAATAGACTCAGGAAGTAGAAAACTGAGTAACTGTGAAAGGTATTGCTATTCAAAGCATTGTTTCCAGAAATGATTATGATTGCCTGAACCATTTTCAAACAATACTTAATTCCAGTGCTTCTTGTTCTAGAATGTTGACACAAAGATGGCAAGTAGCATTGAACATTGGTTACTAGTGTGATCCCTACTTTGAAATGCAAACTCTTTCATTCAGTGGTGGGTGATCTGAGGGAGATTTTGAGTCTGTGGGATTCAGCTGCACCATCTCCGAAATAGAGATAAGAAATCATGTGATTATCATGAAATTTACATGGGAAGCATGTAAAAAGAATGCTGAAATGTTCAGGGGCACCTAGGTGGCTCAGTCTGTTAAGCATCTGACTTTGGCCTTTGGCCCAGGTTATGATCTGGCAGTTAGTGAGTTCGAGCCCCGCGTGCACCACCAGTGCAGATCCTGCTTGAGATTCTCTCCCTCTCTCTCTGCCCCTTCCCCACTTGTGCTCTCTCTCTTTCTCTCTCTCAAAATAAATAAACTTAAAAAAAACCTTAAAAAAAAAGAATGCTAAAATGTTCAATAAATGGTACCTGTAGTTAGGCTTCAGTGCTCTATTTTATGAAGTCAATACTACTGAATTGGTATCGAAATCTCGACAGAGTACGAGGGAAGAAGGGTACTGACTTTGCACTTAGGAATACAAATATGAAAAATCCCAAATAAAACATTAGTGAATTAAGTCTAAGTATACATTAAAAAATGAATGTCATTGCTAAAGAGCACTTATTTTAGGAATGTAAAATGGCTTAATATCAGGAACTATACCAGTATAACATTATTTGAACAGGTCAAATAAAATCTATGTAATCATTTCAGTAGATGCTAAAAAAGGAATTTAAGGTTCCAAAACCTGTGGTCGATTAAAACGAAAACAAAAACAGAAAAAAAACCCAAAAACCAAAAAAAGAAAAAACAACCCTCAAAACACCTGATTTTTCTTTAGTTAAATAAGGGTAAACCAGCAGCTGCCTTAATATTTAACAGTGATACATTGAAGACATTCTGCTAAAATTAAAGTCCAGACATTTTGTAATTTTAGTATTTTA